CCTCTCGTGTTCTGGGTGGTGACTGTGTAAGTTGGTGGTAGATGGCTATTGATGCATGGCTTGGTGTGCTCTATGTTTAATGGCTCGCCCATGTCCAGTCTTCTGGTGTCGCTGTATCTGTCAATCATTTTGGTGTCGTTTATCTCCATCACCAGAGACATACACACGACACCAAAATGACTGACAGATATAGCGACAACAGAAGGCTGGACATGGGGCGAGGCATTAAACATATAACACACCAAGCCACGCATCAATAGTCAACTACCATCAACTTACACTCTGTCAACATCCAGAACACGACGGAACACACCAGACACAACACACACCAGACACGACGACACACACCAGACACGACGACACACACCAGACACGACGGAACACACCAGACACAACACACACCAGACACGACATACACACACCAGACACGACATACACACACCAGACACGACATACACACACCAGACACGACGACACACACCAGACACGACGACACACACCAGACACGACGACACACACACCAGACACGACGACACACACCAGACACGACGACACACACACCAGACACGACGACACACACACCAGACACGACGACACACACACCAGACACGACGACACACACACCAGACACGACGACACACACACCAGACACGACATACACACACCAGACACGACATACACACACCAGACACGACATACACACACCAGACACGACATACACACACCAGACACGACATACACACACCAGACACGACATACACACACCAGACACGACATACACACACCAGACACGACATACACACACCAGACACGACGACACACACCAGACACGACGACATACACCAGACACGACATACACACCAGACACGACGACACACACCAGACACGACGACACACACACCAGACACGACACATACACACCAGACACGACACATACACACCAGACACGACACACACACACCAGACACGACGACATACACCAGACACAACACACACCTGGCCTCACGCTAACACCAGAGTGACAGGATACAGTCGACCTGTAATTGGACCTTTTTCAGCTCGTCCTCGGGTACATATCATGCAGCAAGGCAACTTGTAAAATCTAGCTTACGGGCTATTCATGCCCGTGCCACCTCTTGGGTGGATTAATTTTCAATCACTTTGTTATTATTCCAACTCTGCCAATGACAATGCTAACAACCAAGAGTTAACGAAACGCAAGTGTTAGCGTTAGTCCAAATAAAACTATAAACATGAACTTTTGAAAAGTTAATTTATCAACTAAGCAAGTAAAGAAAATCCGGAAAATTGGAGCTAGAATCATTGATCTCACCCTTCCGGACATTCAATAATATTTGCCTACAGGAAAGACTGCAACCCAAATATACTAGTATTTATTACTACTAACCTAGGAAACGTAGCGTTTCCTAGGTTAGTAGAAAGCTGACCTTATCAGCGGGAGCCCGTAGCGGTAACTTGACCAGGTCAGGTCAGGTCAGGTCAGGTCAGGTCGGGTCAGGTCAGGTCAGGTCAGGTCAGGTCAGGTCAGGTCGGGTCGGGTCAGGTCAGGTCAGGTCAGGTCAGGTCAGGTCGGGTCGGGTCAGGTCAGGTCAGGTCAGGTCAGGTCAGGCCGGGTCAGGTCAGGTCAGGTCGGGTCGGGTCAGGTCAGGTCAGGTCAGGTCAGGTCGGGTCGGGTCGGGTCAGGTCAGGTCAGGTCAGGTCAGGCCGGGTCAGGTCAGGTCGGGTCGGGTCAGGCCGGGTCAGGTCAGGTCGGGTCAGGTCAGGTCGGGTCGGGTCGGGTCGGGTCGGGTCGGGTCAGGTCAGGTCAGGCCGGGTCAGGTCAGGTCGGGTCGGGTCAGGCCGGGTCAGGTCAGGTCGGGTCAGGTCAGGTCGGGTCGGGTCGGGTCAGGTCAGGTCAGGTCAGGTCAGGTCGGGTCGGGTCAGGTTAGGTCAGGTCAGGTCAGGCCGGGTCAGGTCAGGTCGGGTCGGGTCAGGCCGGGTCAGGTCAGGTCGGGTCAGGTCAGGTCGGGTCGGGTCGGGTCGGGTCGGGTCAGGTCAGGTCAGGTCAGGTCAGGTCGGGTCAGGTCAGGTCAGGTCAGGTCAGGTCAGGTCAGGCCGGGTCAGGTCAGGTCGGGTCAGGTCAGGTCGGGTCAGGTCGGGTCGGGTCGGGTCGGGTCAGGTCGGGTCGGGTCGGGTCGGGTCAGGTCAGGTCGGGTCAGGTCAGGTGGGGTCAGGTCAGGTCAGGTAACCGTTCCCTTCCGTATCTAAGCAGCCCGACTTCCCAGCAGGCCAAACATGCTAGACTAATCTAGAACACTGTGTTTATCATCGATCTAAGCATACAAATAAAAATTTCAAGAAAAGTTCTAAAAAGCTAAATAAAAAAAGTTTCAAAGCCACAAATAACATCAACACAACAAATAAAAAAAAAATCAAATGGCTAAAAATCCAAGTTCAAGAAAATTAAACAAATCTAAAACGAAACTTAAGGTTTTACAAAATGACAATTTAAATATACAAAAGTGAAGCAATAAAAGTAACTACAATGTGGTCGACGACACTTGACAAACTAATCAATAACTTACACGCAATTATTCAAACATATAAAAGAAAACACGACGATACTGGAAATTTATATATAAAAAAAACACGGAAATTATACAAAGATTGCAAACAAACATTTAACAGTTCATATTTAAACACTACCTTAAGTAACTACAGCTCACTTGTTTGAGCGCACGAACACACCAAAATAACCCCCCCCCCCAAAAAAAAAAAAAACTAAACATAAGAATGAACTAAAAATGTGTATAAATGTATACACATTTATACGCGCGCGCGCGCGCACAACCTAAACACAAGAGTGAACTAAAGAAAATGTGTATTAATGTAAGCGAGTAAATATGTAGAAATGAGACGTTTTTGATCCATTTTAGGACGAAGTTTTTTAATATACAAAGACGCCATTAATCTTTGATCAAAGGCACCACCATTACAATTGTCCGAAATGTCGAAATCTGACTTAACAGAAGACGAACTTCTCTGAACACGATCTCGAATTTCGGAAATCGACGTTTTTGATAATGGTCGACCAGTTGTGTGTGACAGTCGTCAATTAGAATGATCAAACACTGACGACTGTCGCAGAGAACTGGTCGACCATTATCAAAAACGTCGTTTTCCGAAATTTAGATCGTTCTCAGAGAAGTTCGTCTTCTGTTAAGTCAGATTTCGACATTTCGGACAATTGTAATGGTGGTGCCTTTGATCTAAGATTAATGGTGTCTTTGTATATTAAAAAACTTCGTCCTAAAATGGACCAAAAACGTCTCGTTTCTGCCTATTTACACTCTTACATTAATACACATTGTCTTTAGTTCACTCTTCTCATGTTTAGGTTGTGTGTGTGTGTGCGTGCGTGCGTGCGTGCGTGCAAACAAGTGTGCAGTAGTTACTTAGCGTAGTGTTTAAGCATGAACTATTAAATATTTGTTTGCAGTCTTCGTAATTTTTTTGGCGTTTTTATATATAAATTCCCAGTATCGTTGTTTTCGTTTGTTTGTCTCAAGTGCGGGTAATTTATAGTTTGGCAACGTTGTCAGTCCACAATGTGAATAGTTCTGTCATTTCTCTTTTGTATGTTTACGTTGTCATTTTGTAACGTCTTAAGTTTCGTTTTTTTTCGTTAATTCATTTTCTTGAACTTGTATTATTTTAAAAATTGTTTTGCTTAATTTTATTTATGGCTTTTTACTTTTTTTATTTAGATTGTTGGCTTAATTGATTTTTTCTTGATTTTTTTATTTTATGTGAAAAGTGTTCGAAACTTCATATGAATATTTAAATAAAATTATTTTCAAGAGACGTTTGCCATAGCTCTTCGTCCTTTTATTTCGAAATTAAAATTATTAAGAGTAACCTTTTGAGGATTTATTATTCACGCAAGAGGACTAGCACGCATACACACACACACACACACACACACACACACACACACACACACACACACACACACACACCAGCATTCACTAATAACACAAACAGTACTGCTCTTGAGTGTCTCAAACGACGGTGAGACTAAATTCTCAAGTCTACTTTCTAACACCATCTTTCCTCAACAGTGGTTGAGCGGCTTCTAGAGGCTCTCAATCAACAGATGGTATGTCAAGAAATCTCTAAACAGTCGCTTGCATTCCTAAAACAAATGATTAAAAAATCTTGATTCGTGAAAAACTGTGTCGCTCACAAAGGTTTAAGACTTGTACTTCTCCAGCGACTGTCTTGGGAGGCTATCACTTCCGATCCGTAACTCGTGATCTCGCTTACCACGACGCGTTACCAGCACCATAACATCTTTTGATAACGTAAACAATGAACCTGAAAAGTAACGCCCGACACGCAGAATTCTAATACTCAATAACAGCAGGAGACGGTTCGTAATTAAGTATCATACCTCCGTGGTAAGAGAGAGAGAGAGAGAAGAGTCAGAGACTGAACTCACTTCCAGCCGCAGACATTCTTGATGGAACATCTTGGCCACCCAAGACTGCGTGTATTATGGCTCTCTGTAGTCCACATCACAAACTATGTCTTGGCAGCACATGCGACAAGGAAAAGTGAAACGCGCACATTAAACAGAATTCAGGGCAACAAATCCTCATAGCAAACATAACAGTTGGGGTGAAAGTCTATACAGAACCGGATTCCATTGTATGACATCACATGGGGGATACAAAAGGCCCGAATCTCTCGCCATAGAGGGTTTTTTGGGTGCAAAAGACCCGGATCTCTTGCCATGAAGGCTATTTTGGGGTACCAAAGGGCCAGATTTCTCACCATAAAGGCCTTTTTTCAATTACATTTTAGCCAAATGATTTTTTTTTATTTTATTTTATGAAAGCAAGTTTAACATTTCTGCTGTTGTTGGGTGTTAGAATTGAAGGTGACAAGTCTGCTCACACTTACGGAGCTCCGGAGGTGTGACCCCGGGAATGGCCTACCTTGACCTGGCTTTTTTCTTTTCCGTCCGCTCGTTGACCCGTCGCTGGTGTCTGCCTTGTTCTGTACCACGACTAAAACAGACACAGACAAATACCGGACATGACACAACAACAACAAAAGACATGCAGTTAATGTTAACAAACAACAACAACAACAACAAAAAAAGGAGACGTTTACCGGTGCTAAATCTCGACCTCATGTTAATGTTTAAAAACATTTATAAGAGAATTCGTCGGAGCCATCATGATCAGGGTTCGAATCTATGCGGGGGTTGGGGGTGTTCGATTAGGGCGTGTACGTGGATACACCCACCAACCCATAGGTTCGAATCCCCTCATCACAACTCCTACGGATTTTCACACTACTGGTATTTTTACTATTGTAATCATCAAAGCCTCAACATTTGTCTACACAGGATTGTGGAGATTTAACACAAGTGGTAATTATCAACAATTAAGTTATAAGTAAAATACGTAAGGAATGACGAGGGAGTGAAAAATAAATGTTACTTTACTCAACGAACACATAGAATGTTTTGTTAAATTAGAACGAAATATATATTTTTAGCTAAAGTATGTATTCAGTAAATATACCAAATAGATAATTAGTCTTTAAACCACGTCACTGATAGACACTAGTGATTCCGGGACGGCTTTGTCACACACACACACACACACACACACACACACACACACACACACACACAGGAACTTTTTTAGTGTCAGAGTGGTTGACAAATGGAATGCATTAGGGGGTGATGTGGTGGAGGCTGACTCCATACACAGTTTCAAGTGTAGATATGACAGAGCCCGATAGGCTCAGGAATCTGTACACCTGTTGATTGACGGTTGAGAGGCGGGACCAAAGAGCCAGAGCTCAACACCCGCAAACACAACTAGGTGAGTACACTCAATTCATTTGGGGGGCTGGTGGCTGAGTGGACAGCGCTCTAGGCTCATGGACCTAGGGACCCGGGTTCGATTCCCGCAGCCGGCGGAAACAGATGGGCAGAGTTTCCTTAACCCTGAGGCATCTGTTACCTAGCAGTAAATAGATACTTGGGAGTTGGACAGCTGTTACGGAGCTGCTTCCTGTTTGTGTGCGTGTGCGTGTGTGTGTGTGTGTGTGTGTGTGTGTGTGTGTACTCACCTAGTTGTACTCACCTAGTTGTGCTTGCGGGGGTTGAGCTCAGGCTCTTTGGTCCCGCCTCTCAACCGCCAATCAACAGGTGTACAGGTTCCTGAGCCTATTGGGCTCTATCATATCTACACTTGAAACTGTGTATGGAGTCAGCCTCCACCACATTGCTTCCTAATGCATTCCATTTGTCAACCACTCTGACACTAAAAAAGTTCTTTCTAATATCTCTGTAGCTCATTTGGGCACTCAGTTTCCACCTGTGTCCCCTAGTGCGTGTGCCCCTTGTGTTAAATAGCCTATCTTTATCAACCCTGTCGATTCCCTTGAGAATCTTGAATGTGGTGATCATGTCCCCCCTAACTCTTCTGTCTTCCAGCGAAGTGAGGTTCAATTCCCGTAGTCTCTCCTCGTAGCTCATACCTCTCAGCTCGGGTACTAGTCTGGTGGCAAACCTTTGAACCTTTTCCAGTTTAGTCTTATGCTTGACTAGATATGGACTCCATGCTGGAGCCGCATACTCCAGGATTGGTCTGACATATGTGGTATATAATGTTCTGAAAGATTCCTTACACAAGTTTCTAAAGGCCGTTCTTATGTTAGTCAACCTGGTGTGTGTGTGTGTGTGTGTGTGTGTGTGTGTGTGTGTGTGTGTGTGTGTGTGTGTGTGTGTGTGTGTGTGTGTGAGAAAAAAAATAGTAGTTAGTAACAGTAGATTGACAGTTGAGAGGCGGGCCGAAAGAGCAGAGGTCAACCTCCGCAAGCACAACTAGGGAATCAACCTCCGCAAGCACACACAGGTACACACACACACACATACACACACACACACACACACACCACCACACACACACCACACACACACACCACCCACACACACACCACCCACACACACACCACCCACACACACACCACACACACACACCACCCACACACACACCACCCACACACACACCACCCACACACACACCACCCACACACACACACACTTCAGTCCCTGGTAACTGGGATCAGGTATGACTTCCCATCACATCTACGAACTTTAAGGGATTGAATATGTCATTTTCCCCGTAGATCTGCAACATTAAAGATACGTCACATAAGCATATATTATGCTTATGCAATAACAACTAATCAAAGACGATCAATGTGAATCTCTAAACAAAATTCTTGATTACTTTTGTTGCATATATTTTTTTTGAATTAGATGTTCCATGAGAATCAATTTGCCTCGAATTCTGGATGAGGCGGATTTGCTATATGTGTGGCGACTAAATAATCCTTAGAGCAGGTAAGAGTATGTGCACCACTTAGTGCGCGTTCACGCGCGTGCGTGTGTGTGTGTGTGCGTGCGTGCGTAAAATAAACACACATACACCCACACACACATGAATATACAGGGTGTCCCAGAAGTTATGACCCACAAATTTTAACATCAATTGTCGTGTGACTACTGATTGGATACATGTATCAGTCGTGATTGTGGACACACATTGAATTCATGTTGCATTAAACAATGAAATATCAAATCAAAACCAGTTTTCACCAGCTTACGCCATGGTTCCAGGCTCATGGGGCACCCTGTATATTATTTCTAGAGTTGGGTGCAATGACTTGGACGTAACCTGTAGTGAAGGTGGAGATGCAGAGCTAACTCCCTGGAGACAGCACCTCCAACTTTCTCGCCACTACTGAAGGTAAACTCGTCAGTCAAATGATCTTTAATCACTGAAAGTGGCATCTGTTACTGTGCTAAATTTTCCAGGCCTCCAGGGAATTAGATGTGTGGGAATTGAACAGCTCTATCATTGTTTATCTTTAGTGCTCTGTAACCAGGAAACTTTTCCTGCGAGCATGAAGGGGAAAAACTACTGTTTTATAGCAATACCAAGATGCAAAATGTTCAGAGGGCGGTAAACTAGGACAAAACGCTACTTGAATACTCGGTAAAGACTATACACCTCTCCGAACACTTTGCATCTGTGGTGTTTACGTCAAGACAAGTTAATATAGAGGAACATACCTGAACTCCCCGTGTGAAAGTTAACGTCTAAGTCAGAAACAGCACTTTTAGGTCTTAGTTTGCTGGTGGTGTTGTTAGTCGCAGAAGAGGGGTGAGAGAGGTGGGTGGGTGAGGGGGGCGACACCGGCGCCAGACTCTCCCTGGGGATGTCCAGGGAAGCTTGACGCGGCAAGGAGTGGGAGTTATTAAGCTTACGAAGGCTAGACCCTCTTCGTTTATTGTCTAACGTAGGGTACTGCTGGTGAGGGTGGAGAGGGTGGGAGAGGCTGGGCTGGTGGTTGTGGTTGGCCAGAGGGTGGTGGTGGTGGTGGAGAGGGTGATAGGGATGGTGGTTGAGGGGTGGTGGTGGAGGGGCGGTGGTAGGAGGGAGCGAGAGGTTGGTCATGGTGTTGTTGTTGTGTAAGCACTTTGCGTCGTCCGTCAGGCTAGTGAGAGAGTTGAGGTGCACATGGACGCCGGGGCGAAGGGGCCACTTGTGCACGGGTTGGACTGACACGGGGGAGAAGGGGTCGGGGCGGAGCGAGGTCCCTTCAGGGCTATAACAGAAGGGGGAGAGAAGGGCCACCAAAGCGCCTTCGTCAACATCAACACACACGACATCAATGTAACTAGTGAAGGTCCCGGGAAGGTGACATTAAACAATAATTTAAACTTTTAATCACATTATCAAGTCTTTAAATTCTCTAGCAAGAAACTTTCCTTCATATCAGCAAGACTAAACCCAGTGATAATGACAGCTTCCCGTTCATACCTCCATATTAAACTATCACGAATTATTAATAAACAAATAGTACGATACAATGTGGGAAAAGCCACCTGTTACTCTTTGTTTCGCCTCAACGCCAAGTCTTTGCCTTGTGATGTAGAGAGGAGTAAACGACACGGAGCTAAGACAATATTACCACACTAAGGAAGCCGCAAATCAACCTTCTACACCGCGCATCAAGGTCAGGTTAAAGATAGAACCAGTACTCAACTCTCCTTTTAATTCTAAACTCAGCAAAGGATTGCAGTCGTTAAATACGGTAATACGCAAAGCCTTAATCCAATTTATGCCTCCCGGAGAGAGAGAGAGAGAGAGAGAGAGAGGGAGGGAGGGAGGGATTAGGGAAGGGGAGGTAAGGTGGATACTTTAAGAACTATAAAACAGTGAGCCATTTTAAATGCTGCATTACCTTCGGAACAAACAGAAAACGGACTACGAGGACCAACTAATATATTCAGATTACCTTATGCACTTGGTAGCAGAACTATCGGAACCTACTCCTGTCCGTAGGTTAAGGGTTTAACACAGGCAGTAAGGAGGTACGATGCATCAAATGGAAAAGAAAAAAGGAACAGATAAACTTACAATAAGTAATTAAGATTAACAATAATTGCTAAATATAAAAAGAGTAAGCGAAAGAAAATTGATTGAACTTAACATACGCATTCGGCCGAATTTTCATGCCCGAACATGAACGCAAGCTGGAAAAGTCTCGGTTTTCAATCGGAAATTTGTAGATTTGTATTTGCTTATTTACAGAGTTCGGTTTGTACGCTCACGTCGACCTAAGCACATTGGCTTTATTGAAATTCAAAATATTACTAATAGTAAGTAAATCGTGTATATATATATATATATATATATATATATATATATATATATATATATATATATATATATATATATATATATATATATATAACGGGGTAAAGGTGTGGGAGGCGATTGAGATTGGGAAGCAAGGATATGGAGAGGGCTGCCAGGATAGGAATTAGAGAACTAAGATGAGAGTTGGTAATAAACAGGGAGATGAGGAAAAAACATTAAACTAAAGAACTTGAGCAGGCACATATGTTCTCACACACACACACACACACACACACACACACACACGATGCACACACAGGTGAGGAGGACAGGACAACAGAGACACACGGCAGAAGCAGCATGAGACAACACAACCACCACAGCCTACCTGCTCAGCACTGCCCCTCTGGTCTGGGAGGAAGTTGTTCATTTTTCAACCAATCTCCCTTCGATTTCAAATATTAATCTGCCTGATTTGTCATCTCATTCCATTATAAATGTCTGATTTATAGTGTCTGATTCTGTACATTCCAGTTGAGAATCATATTTGATTCAGAGTGGAATATGACAGGAGCGACGAGGAGAATATTTTGATAGTTGCTTTCAAACGCGTCCCCGAGGTTAATATAGTGTAATATCCCACTACACCCCAGAGCCAGGCAGCGCTGCAGCAGGCGACGGCGGTGGACACGACAGCAAGAGCAGCAGCAGCAGCAGCAGCAGCAGCCGCCAATACTCACAGTGAAGGTGAAGGAGGGGGTCCTGGGTGCTCACGAGGGTAGCTCCTTGGACACATGCTCGTGGGTCGGCTCTTCGTCCACCTTGTCTGTAACACCCGGGCCCCGACTCTTAGCTACTCCAAGGCTACACTCGGTTACCTGATACACTGCGTGCTGTACCCCAGGACACCCGGGACCCGCACAAGCGTACACATCTGCCTGCATGGCATCTCTCTCACCCGGACACATGGTCACCTCTCAAACGACACGGACAGCACGTACTCTTGGGCTATCTAGTACTAGTAAACAAGCTACTTCAACGTTTACTGAGGTAACTTGGTGATAAGGGGACGAGCCAACCCCTAGAGGGGTGGCCTTAGGGAACGGGCCTACCCCTAGAGGGGGGACCTACCTAAGGGAACGGGCCTACCCCTAGAGGGGGGACCTACCTAAGGGAACGGGCCTACCCATACAGGGGTGGCCTAAGGGAACGGGCCTACCCCTACAGGGGTGACCTACCTAAGGGGACGAGCCTACCCCTAGAGGGGTGACCTACCTAAGGGAACGGGCCTACCCTGAGATAGGTAGCCTAGGGGGAATGAAGTACCTAGTAAGCGATTCGCTCATAGAAGCAATTTACTGCATCTGTGAAATTTACTGACGGTTTCCATAGAAGGTGAACTAATCACCCAGAAGAAAGATTTGCAAAATAATCTACCAACAGGGATACAATCTACCCTGGGAGGAGATGACCCACCCAAGGTCTTGAGTTACCTAATGAGCTTCACCTACCCAACTATGTAGGGGTGACCTACCAAAGGGGGAGGAGGAGGTAGACTAACATGAGGACACACCTACATGGGCAAAGGGGGCGAAGGGATATGGTATCACGAGTCAGGAAGGGGGGGATAATCTACCAAGCGAGCGGGCAGACTTTCTAAGGGACGGGGCGCCCCACAGGAGGGTGGGCACAGATCAACCAAAGGGGTAACCTACCCAGAAGGGGCACCGAGGCCACACACAGGATCCATACAACGGCCACAGCCAGGAAATGGAAAACAGACATAAAGTTACTATGTAGCTTTGCCATATTTTCTTAAACACACACATGCAGGCATTAAAAAAATATAAAGAGAAAAGTAAAAAATAGAATAAAATAACTCGCATAAAAGAGAACATTACAAAATTAAATTCGGAAGTAATAACAGAATTAAATAATAGATAAGCCTAAGATAAACATTCACAAACATGAAGACACAAGGCAAGGAAAAAATCAATTGTCTATAAAGTCCAAGAATGGATCAGATTAGAAAATCTTGCAGAAATGTTTATATTGCATTAAGGTTATTAAAGCATGTCATTTAGCGCAGTTTTAATGAGAGGCACGCACATACACACGCACATGGAACCATGCATACATACACACAACTCTCTAGTCTCAAAAATGATAAATAAGAAGATTAAAGAGTGGAGGGGAGCCTGACGCCGATGCATAGCGGCTCATATAGCACCCGTTTATCCGGACTTAGAGCATCCGGATAAGCGGGATTTCCGTATAAACGGCATTGCATCCGATCAGTCTGCGTTGAGGAGGGAGTGAGAGGCGGCGAGATGGTCCACTGTGCAGGTTAAATTGGAGATCAAAAGGATTCCCCCCCCCCCCCCCCCCCGCGGCCTGATGGAGACGAGGTATTCATACATTGATCGTGACACGACAGAGATTGTGATTCATCATATCTGGACTAATTGTTTCACTGGAACCTCTTTCCCAGAGGAGTGGGGGGAGGGGGAGGGGGAAGGTTTTTTACGAGAACTTGCCGAATCGTGCGAGTGAATTGTGTGTTGATGCACTCTTCAAAAATGTATTAGAATTTTGACAGCTGTATGTGTCTGGGGACCTGGCCAGCGGGTCCGCTCTTAACTGTAGACCTTTGAGCCATGAGGGACCCAGTTTAGTATCACAATTTAAACCATTATAATATATGATGGTTTAAATATTATATATATATATATAATATATATATGTGTGTATATAATATATACACACACGATTGACATTAAAGTAATAAGTTATCAAAATGACAGAGCGATCATCGAATTTAAACACAGAAAATCAACATTATCTGTGTATGTTTATTAATGGAATTGTTGGGGTGACTCTTCCAGCTCGTGTGAGGGCGATATAGTACCGTCTTGTTTACCTTCTTGAGGGTAGGTGCCAGTAGGTGCCAGGATGGGGGGGGGAGGGGGGGGGACTAGAGGTGAGGGAGGGACACGTAGTCCGTGACGAGAGCTTAGGGAATGGTGGGGGGCGAGACTATTTTTCTCAAACAGGTGGAAGACGTGGTTAAGTCAACCATCTGCAGGTGAGGTGGTTAAGTCAACCATCTAAGATATTATTCCTTCCTCAACCACCAGATGGGCCCACGATCCACACCCTTCCACCAGTCCCCACGCAAAACCATACTAACCAACCAGCCAGCCACCTGGATATCCAGGTGGCAACCATCTGGATATCCAGGTGGCAACCATCTGGATATCCAGGTGGTACATCCTTGCTACCGTCTTGTTCTTCCTAAGAGCACCACTGCCTTCCTTAAATATATATACAGTATAATATAGGCTTCTCTATAGTATAATGCTCCCGCCGCCTAAAATGTACTAAGCTGAGGTAGATCATGCATCACTCGGCAATTAGGCGCGACACAGTTGCGGTTGTGGTAGTAGTGGTGGTTGTGGTGGTAGTAGTGCGTAGGGGGATGGGCGGGGTGGGTGGGCGTGTCCAGAAGGCACGGGCGGCTGTGTGGGCGTGGGTGGGTGGCAAAGGAGGTGGCGGGAGTAGGTCTGTGGGCGGCAGCTAAGGAGGGAATGAGCCAGGCCTCCGTCACATCCTCCCACAGCTGGTGGTGGTTGTGGTGGTGGTGGTTGTGGTGGTTGTTGATGTAGTTGTTGAAGTGGTTGTGGAGGCTGCTCGCACGCGAGAAAATGACACATATGGCGCTTGAGAGACAGAAAATGGCAATAGAGATGAAGGGAAGACAGTAGAAGGGAGAGAGGCAAGAGAACACACACACGCACACGTGAGAGAAACATTAAGGCGGCAAGGAAACAGGGCGTCAACACGGGGCAAGGGGGGGGGAGGGGAGTGAACAAGGGGAGGGGGGGGGCGGGAGTGAACACGGGGGGGGGGAGGGGGGGGCGGGAGTGAACACGGGGAACACGGGGGGGGGGGGAGGGGAGTGAACAAGGGGAGGGGGGGGGGAGGGGAGTGAACAAGGGGAGGGGGGGGGGCGGGAGTGAACACGGGGGGAGGGGTAAAGGAACACTGACAATAGACTAGGGACCAGGGAGGACAGTGAGACTCGTGCCCCCATGGAAGAGTGCCAAAGGGACAAAGAGCAAGGGACCAAGAGAGCAATGGTCAGAGAGAGGGGATTATTGGCTAAGGATTGGAAAGGTGTTTAGGGACTTGCTACACACACGCGCACACACAAGTAACTAAATCACACACACACACACACACACACACACACAGAGAGAGAGAGAGAGAGAGAGAGAGAGAGAGAGAGAGAGAGAGAGAGAGAGAGAGAGAGAGAGAGAGAGAGAGAGAGAGAGAGAGAGAGAGAGAGAGGAGGAGGGAGGGAGAGAGAGGAAAATGATGATTAAGAGATATTTAGGTTAAAGATTGGCACATAACAAATGGGTAATTATGAGAATGAATCTGTTCATCTACACACTAACACATACAGAAATGAGTAAACGAACACTTCGTGTCGAACACAATGAATGGTTCAGTGCCGGCGTCAATCTATAAATTTAGCTGAAAGTTGAACACACACTATTTCGTTAATTTCACAAAACACAGTGCAACTGGCATTCATAATTTAACTCTTTGCGTACCACAGTGGCACGTTAAGGGCAATGTCTCAAGGTTATGGATAATTACACTGAAGGTGCCAAGTAGTTGAAGCATTTCTCGCCTTGTTGACTGTTTACTGTGCGACCTGAACGAGGCTTTTAGAGGTTACGGGGGACTATTTAAGAGGTTCTAACTCTGTAATGTTAACCCCATACGAGGTTTTCTCTGTATGGGGTTAAGCGGTAGTCTCAGAGTTAAAGGCTTCTCTCTAGTTCTAAGCAGCGGCATGTGTGTGTGTGTGTGTCTGTCTCAGCAACCACTGTCTCGTGATCACAAAATTAGTACCATCTAAATTGCAAATTAGAGACGGGACTCAAATTAGATGCGTCAAGATAGTGAAGACGCATCAAAACAGTGATGGATCAGATCTTTGCATTTCTATTTTGATATCTCTGGATAAAAAGATAAACAGAGGAAGAGGCCTACCAGTTGAGTCCAATAATTCGTCATTCAACCCATCAGACAAAACAGGTTTTGCGAGTCTGGCTAGAGTTCTGTCAAATAGGTGATTTCAAGCAGGTTAAGCATACTAAGGACTAGTGGGGTGTGGAATTCAATTATGAATAAAATAGGGGTACAAAATAGGTGATGTAAGTCCAGTTTTTTGTTGTTGAAGATTTCAGGGATTACAATAGAGGTATGTAATAGGTAAAATGTGTTGTACACTGAAGATGATCTCGCATATAAAGCGATATGAATTAGTGTGGCGGGATATGAGGAGGAGGGCCCCGTGATATGTGCCAGAAGTATCAAGGTTCCAAGCCAGGGAGGCACTGTGCCAGGACTAAAAAAACATAAAATTTTTGTTCATTGTACAGGCAGAATACCGAGCTCGGAATGCAACAAGAATTAGCGTTACTTGTAAATGCAATGTTAGTGCAAGTTAGTGCAATGTAAATGCAATGCAAATTATTGTAGAACTGCTACAACATCTTACACGGAACCTTCCACTTGCGACATGTATGAGCAACAGCCCTGAGCTGCCTTACACTTAAATGTCCCTCAATTTGGACCCTGCCAACGGCACCGTCCAAATTTAGCCACTTTACGACTATTAAAGCAACATAATTTGGACACATTCTGAGACTAAAGAGCATCGGCTTTGATAGGTCAGGAGCGGGCGGTGACTAGGTTCATACGCTTCTGGTTAGAGAAGACCACTTAAAAATTGCCGCTTGTCAGATCGTCAGGACGAGGTTGTAAAGTCTGCGTCTTTCGCTTGACAGCGAGCAGCTGCACAGTGGCCAGTTAGCTTGTTGTCTCTGCTGTCTGCCCGCTGGAGGCCACACGTCTCATTTGTTACGAGGAAATGCTACTAAAATCAAATCTTACGTTGCTGGAAGACACGTAATAGGAGACATGATTGCTACATACACAAAGTTTTGGGAATATTGATAAGGTACATAAAGACAGACTATTTAGGACAGGTGGTACTCGAACAAGGGGACACAAGTCGAAACCAAATATCCAAATCAGGCACAGAGATCATTTTTAGTCAGAGAAGTTAAAAAATGTAATGCATTAGGTAGTGATGTGGTGAAGGCAGACTCCATACACAGTTTAAAATGTAGACATGACAAGAGACCAATAGGATGAGGATCAGCCCAATAGGTCACGCGTAAACAAGTTGGTTGGCAGTTGAGAGGCGGGACCGAAGAGCTGATTCTCAATCCCCGCAAAGCAGAATTAGATGAGTACTTGTCACACCGGAGGCCACAGTGCCATGCTGGAGGCCACAGTGCCACGCTGGAGGCCACAGTGCCACGCTGGAGGCGACGTAACCGTTAACTAGAGTGAGTAACCTGAGAAAGTTTAGGATAAACGAGAGTTCCAGAGAGGACCTGTGAGAGATGTATAAGCCCTTGAGAGGGGCGCACTATGAGTTCCACTATGCACTCGAGTACTATGCCAGTGTGTGTCCCAAGGCTGAGTGTGTCGCGCGAGTCATGAGGCCAGGTGGTTCACGGGAAACAGTCATTAGGCCGAGAATAACGAGGTGGCTTCTCCCACAAAGCGTATATTAACTTAATGATGCATGACCTAATTAAGTACAATCTTGACGCTACTGGGAATCAAATATTGGATCATGTTCCACAGGGTTGAGTTACCCATGCAACAAGGGGGAAAGTGGGAGACAAAAAATGGAATCTATTTTCTTGTCTTAAATTAGCCATGCAAACTGAGATTTGTTTTCTAATTTCAAACTACTTCATCCAAAAAAAAAAAAATCTAGGCTAATTAAAATTATTATATATCACTGCTACAAAATATACACTAATATTTTTTTTAAGAACTACACATACTACTGCATTTTTTTTACACCATTTAAAAACGAGAAAAAGGAATATGACTTACTTCTCTCTCTCCTGTAAGCTGGTTGCACCGTTGTCTAAGCAAGCAGAAGGGGGGGAGAGAGGGGGGTGGGGGAGGAATGGAAAAAAACGCGCAGATTTAAATTAGAGGCCCAGTGGGATTTGTACTTTGGGGGACAACCCCTAATGTCAGATGTTTTATATATATGTAAATATGTGAGGCCGTATTGCAGGCAGTTGGTGTTAAAATGTGCTGTTAGTGTGCAAATATCACCCTTACTAAACTTGTGCCTGTCACGCCTCTGCTCCCCCCTCCCCCCCCCCTTCTCACGGCCACTGGAGAAAATGCATTGATTGAAAACTGATTGATGAAAATTAAGCCACCCAAGAAGGTGACATGGGCATGAGTATATCCCGTAAGCATGATGCTCATCAATTGTTGGTTACGTATCATCTCGTCTGAGTGAGTGAGGGGAGGGGTATATGACCCCCTTGCCCCAGGAGCCATGGGGGTCGGGTAGGGGGGAGGAGGGGTGACATGCTACAAGAGTATTAACACTGATGGGGCATCGCATCAACTATGGTCAAGCTGCCTCCACTCCCATGCAGTAAGCTCTAGTGATGGAGTACAATGGTGTGTGTGGTTCTTGTTCCACTGGTGTCATCACCAACGTCTTAATCAAACCATGTGATCACCAACGTCTTGATCAAACCATGTGATCACCAACGTCTTGATCAAACCATGTGATCACCAACGTCTTGATCAAACCATGTGATCACCAACGTCTTGATCAAACCATGTGATCACCAACGTCTTGATCAAACCATGTGATCACCAACGTCTTGATCAAACCATGTGATCACCAACGTCTTGATCAAACCATGTGATCACCAACGTCTTGATCAAACCATGTGATCACCAACGTCTTGATCAAACCATGTGATCACCAACGTCTTGATCAAACCATGTGATCGCTAACGAGGTGTCAGACGATACAACGCCTTGAAAAACTGCGGACTAAATCGATACATTTTCGCATATACAAGTCGCAATGACAAAAATGAATGAATTCACACTATATTGTATTTAATGCAATTGTCAAGAACCACACAAGCAGTGCACACACTAGAACTCACAATAACAAGGCTTCACACTAATAACAAGGTTATTATCACACTAATAACTAACCCCAGGAGCATACTGCTAGGATTCTATCTCATAGTATAAATATGGAATATAGTTTTTTTTTATTAAAAAAAATGCACCAGATTCCTGAAGCTCTCAAACCCGGATCAGAATTATATTTGAGTAAGTCCAAAACTATATAGATTTCGATGCAGCTAATTATATATATATAAATATATAACATATGGGTTCTAAACGTTTAAAAAAAAACATTCAACGGACATAACTAGTCGTGTATAAACCATATATTCAAAACATCCAAAAAATGACTTCTCATTTTCTTTAAAAAAAAAAAAGCAAATTCTAGACAAGCTCGCACATAGATATAACACAACAGAAAACGGTGACAAATGAAGAGGCGCAGAAACTTACATTTTCCGGCTTGTCTTTGCCTGCGGCAGATGACGATGATGACGACGCAGATGATGAGGACGAGGACGATGACGGCGGCGACGATGGCGGAGATGACGATGATGTTGTCGTCGCCCAGCTTCTCAATGATTCCTGCGACACCTTATAATGTAGAGACGGGCGCGGGGAGCAGCGTTAGTAAGCTTATATTAGTATAAGTAGCACTATAGTGCCTATGTTATTAGCTTAGTGGGTATATTACAATGCTAGTGCACAGGTTCTAAGCTGGTGCACAGGTTCTAAGCTAGTGCGCAGGTTCTAAGCTGTTGCGCAGGTTCTAAGCTGGTGTGCAGGTTCTAAGCTGGTGTGCAGGTTCTAAGCTGGTGTGCAGGTTCTAAGCTTGTGTGCAGGTTCTAAGCTGGTGTGTAGGTTCTAAGCTTGTGCACAGGTTCTAAGCTGGTGTGCAGGTTCTAAGCTGGTGCGCAGGTTCTAAGCTGGTGCGCAGGTTCTAAGCTGGTGCGCAGGTTCTAAGCTGGTGCGCAGGTTCTAAGCTGGTGCGCAGGTTCTAAGCTGGTGCGCAGGTTCTAAGCTGGTGCGTAGGTTCTAAGCTGGTGCGTAGGTTCTAAGCTGGTGCGCAGGTTCTAAGCTGGTGCGCAGGTTCTAAGCTGGTGCGCAGGTTCTAAGCTGGTGCGCAGGTTCTAAGCTGGTGCGCAGGTTCTAAGCTGGTGCGCAGGTTCTAAGCTGGTGCACAGGTTCTAAGCTGGTGCGTAGGTTCTAAGCTGGTGCGCATGTTCTAAGCTGGTGCGCAGGTTCTAAGCTGGTGCGCAGGTTCTAAGCTGGTGTGCAGGTTCTAAGCTGGTGTGTAGGTTCTAAGCTGGTGCGCAGGTTCTAAGCTGGTGCGCAGGTTCTAAGCTGGTGCGCAGGTTCTAAGCTGCAGGGCTGGTGCAGGTTCTAAGCTGGTGTGTAGGTTCTAAGCTGGTGCGCAGGTTCTAAGCTGGTGTGCAGGTTCTAAGCTGGTGCGCAGGTTCTAAGCTGGTGTGCAGGTTCTAAGCTGGTGCGCAGGTTCTAAGCTGGTGTGCAGGTTCTAAGCTGGTGCGCAGGTTCTAAGCTGGTGTGCAGGTTCTAAGCTGGTGCGCAGGTTCTAAGCTGGTGTGCAGGTTCTAAGCTGGTGCGCAGGTTCTAAGCTGGTGCGCAGGTTCTAAGCTGGTGCGCAGGTTCTAAGCTGGTGCGCAGGTTCTAAGCTGGTGCGCAGGTTCTAAGCTGGTGCGCAGGTTCTAAGCTGGTGCGCAGGTTCTAAGCTGGTGCGCAGGTTCTAAGCTGGTGCGCAGGTTCTAAGCTGGTGTGCAGGTTCTAAGCTGGTGTGCAGGTTCTAAGCTGGTGTGCAGGTTCTAAGCTGGTGCGCAGGTTCTAAGCTGGTGCGCAGGTTCTAAGCTGGTGCGCAGGTTCTAAGCTGGTGCGCAGGTTCTAAGCTGGTGCGCAGGTTCTAAGCTCGTGCGCAGGTTCTAAGCTGGTGCGCAGGTTCTAAGCTGGTGCGCAGGTTCTAAGCTGGTGCGCAGGTTCTAAGCTGGTGCGCAGGTTCTAAGCTGGTGCGCAGGTTCTAAGCTGGTGCGCAGGTTCTAAGCTGGTGCGCAGGTTCTAAGCTGGTGCGCAGGTTCTAAGCTGGTGTGCAGGTTCTAAGCTGGTGCGCAGGTTCTAAGCTGGTGCGCAGGTTCTAAGCTGGTGCGCAGGTTCTAAGCTGGTGCGCAGGTTCTAAGCTGGTGCGCAGGTTCTAAGCTGGTGCGCAGGTTCTAAGCTGGTGCGCAGGTTCTAAGCTGGTGCGCAGGTTCTAAGCTCGTGCGCAGGTTCTAAGCTGGTGCGCAGGTTCTAAGCTGGTGCGCAGGTTCTAAGCTGGTGTGCAGGTTCTAAGCTGGTGCGCAGGTTCTAAGCTGGTGTGCAGGTTCTAAGCTGGTGCGCAGGTTCTAAGCTGGTGTGCAGGTTCTAAGCTGGTGCGCAGTTCTAAGCTGGTGTGCAGGTTCTAAGCTGGTGCGCAGGTTCTAAGCTGGTGCACAGGTTCTAAGCTGGTGCGCAGGTTCTAAGCTCGTGCACAGGTTCTAAGCTGGTGTGCAGGTTCTAAGCTCGTGCACAGGTTCTAAGCTGGTGTGCAGGTTCTAAGCTGGTGTGCAGGTTCTAAGCTGGTGCGCAGGTTCTAAGCTGGTGCGCAGGTTCTAAGCTCGTGCACAGGTTCTAAGCTGGTGTGCAGGTTCTAAGCTCGTGCACAGGTTCTAAGCTTTTGCGCAGGTTCTAAGCTCGTGCGCAGGTTCTAAGCTGGTGCGCAGGTTCTAAGCTGGTGTGCAGGTTCTAAGCTCGTGCACAGGTTCTAAGCTGGTGTGCAGGTTCTAAGCTCGTGCACAGGTTCTAAGCTGGTGCTGGTGTGCAGGTTCTAAGCTGGTGCGCAGGTTCTAAGCTGGTGTGCAGGTTCTAAGCTGGTGTGCAGGTTCTAAGCTGGTGTGCAGGTTCTAAGCTGGTGTGCAGGTTCTAAGCGCAGGTTCTAAGCTTTTGCGCAGGTTCTAAGCTCGTGCGCAGGTTCTAAGCTCGTGCGCAGGTTCTAAGCTCGTGCGCAGGTTCTAAGCTCGTGCGCAGGTTCTAAGCTCGTGCGCAGGTTCTAAGCTCGTGCGCAGGTTTTTAGCTGGTGCGTAGATTCTAAGCTGGTGCGCAGGTTTTTAGCTGGTGCGTAGATTCTAAGCTGGTGTGCAGGTTCTAATCTGGTGTACAGGTTATAAGCTTATGTGTAGGTTCTAAGCTTTTGTGCAGGTTCTAAGCTCGTGCGCAGGTTTTTAGCTGGTGCGTAGATTCTAAGCTGGTGTGCAGGTTCTAAGCTGGTGCGCAGGTTCTAAGCTGGTGCGCAGGTTCTAAGCTCGTGCGCAGGTTCTAAGCTCGTGCGCAGGTTTTTAGCTGGTGCGTAGATTCTAAGCTGGTGTGTAGGTTCTAAGCTGGTGTGCAGGTTCAAAGCTAATGCATAGGTTGTAAGCTGGTGCACAGGTTCAAAGATAATGCATAGGTTCTAAGCTGGTGCAGAGGTTCTAAGCTGGTGTGTAGGTTCTAAGCTGGTGTGCAGGTTCAAAGCTAATGCATAGGTTGTAAGCTGGTGCACAGGTTCAAAGATAATGCATAGGTTCTAAGCTGGTGCAGAGGTTCTAAGCTTGTGCGCAGGTTCTAAGCTGGTGCGCAGGTTCTAAGCTTGTGCGCAGGTTGTAACATGGTAGGAAAATACAAAGAAATAAAAATCGCCATGAAACAATTTAGATAAGCTTTCAAAATGGACACAAGACTGACACAGTTTATTATTGATAATTACAACTTTCTTATCTCGGATAATAATATCAGAATTCCTTGATATCTGCTGGACTGTGTTGATATTGCTAAGTCTGAATGAGAGAATGATCTAAGAGTCATGACTAGAAGGGGAAAACAAATGTATTAAACAAGGCAAAAAGAATGCTAGAATTTTATTTCTAGAAGCGATAGCAGCGTCTATTAATACATCGGCTATGTTGCTCTGGTTAGGCCCCATCTAGATTGTGTAGTTAAGTTTAGGTTGCCCGACTGCAGATTGGACTCTAGTTCACTTGTATGCGTATACACAAGGGTGAGACAGTTAATCCCATTAATTTGCAATCTCCCTTACGAAGAGAGATGAAGAAAGCTTAAACGCAAAATAAAACTTGAAACCATGGCTATAAATTGGGTAAGACCTGGGTAAATACTGGTTTCGAAACAGGGCTTTTGATTTGTGGAACAAGTTATACAAAGTAACACAGAGGTTGGATCCCTGGATTGTTTCAAGCGTAGGTTAGACACTTATATGTATGAGTTCGGGGTAGAAATAAATAGGAATGGAGCCGATAGACCAATGAATATGTAGATATTAAATAGGTATCGCGCTCAGCTGATAGGCTGCATATCGGCTAAATAGGCTGATAGTCCTTCTGCAGTCTCATTAATTCTTGTGTTGTAACCGTCCCGCCGGCATCTCCCGCTCACATACAATGCAACATGCAAAGATATACATTTTTGCAATGTTAAAAGAATAGATATGGATCAGACGTAAACATGTTGTGACTAAATGAACAGTGCAATCTACCCAGCTTATTGTATTTGCTGTAGTTTATAGGTATTGTATTTGCTGTAGCTTGGAGCTATTGTATTTGTTGTAGCTTGGAGCTATTGTATTTGCTGTAGCTTGGAGCTGTTGTATTTGCTGTAGCTTGGAGCTATTGTATTTGCTGTAGCTTGGAGCTATTGTATTTGCTGTAGCTTGGAGCTATTGTATTTGCTGTAGCTTATAGCTACACTCTAAATTGTATTTTATTACAATTGACGCATTGAAGCATAAATTACCTCAAGATGAAGATTCGTATTAATTTAAGCACTTAATTAGTGTAACAGCCTCCGAAATTACACCAAATTAATGAATGAATTTTTTTTAATGCGATAACTTTTTGTTTATTATTATGTACACAAGTGGTTGAGTCATGTACAGCACTATAATGTACACAAGTGGTTGAGTCATGTACAGCACTATAATGTACACAAGTGGTTGAGTCATGTACAGCACTATAATGTACACAAGTGGTTGAGTCATGTACAGCACTGTAATGTACACAAGTGGTTGAGTCATGTACAGCACTGTAATGTACACAAGTGGTTGAGTCATGTACAGCACTGTAATGTACACAAGTGGTTGAGTCATGTACAGCACTGTAATGTACACAAGTGGTTGAGTCATGTACAGCACTGTAATGTACACAAGTGGTTGAGTCATGTACAGCACTGTAATGTACACAAGTGGTTGAGTCATGTACAGCACTGTAATGTACACAAGTGGTTGAGTCATGTACAGCACTGTAATGTACACAAGTGGTTGAGTCATGTACAGCACTGTAATGTACACAAGTGGTTGAGTCATGTACAGCACTGTAATGTACACAAGTGGTTGAGTCATGTACAGCACTGTAATGTACACAAGTGGTTGAGTCATGTACAGCACTGTAATGTACACAAGTGGTTGAGTCATGTACAGCACTGTAATGTACACAAGTGGTTGAGTCATGTACAGCACTGTAATGTACACAAGTGGTTGAGTCATGAACAGCACTGTAATGTACACAAGTGGTTGAGTCATGTACAGCACTGTAATGTACACAAGTGGTTGAGTCATGTACAGCACTGTAATGTACACAAGTGGTTGAGTCATGTACAGCACTGTAATGTACACAAGTGGTTGAGTCATGTACAGCACTGTAATGTACACAAGTGGTTGAGTCATGTACAGCACTGTAATGTACACAAGTGGTTGAGTCATGTACAGCACTGTAATGTACACAAGTGGTTGAGTCATGTACAGCACTGTAATGTACACAAGTGGTTGAGTCATGTACAGCACTGTAATGTACACAAGTGGTTGAGTCATGTACAGCACTGTAATGTACACAAGTGGTTGAGTCATGTACAGCACTGTAATGTACACAAGTGGTTGAGTCATGTACAGCACTGTAATGTACACAAGTGGTTGAGTCATGTACAGCACTGTAATGTACACAAGTGGTTGAGTCATGTACAGCACTGTAATGTACACAAGTGGTTGAGTCATGTACAGCACTGTAATGTACACAAGTGGTTGAGTCATGTACAGCACTGTAATGTACACAAGTGGTTGAGTCATGTACAGCACTGTAATGTACACAAGTGGTTGAGTCATGTACAGCACTGTAATGTACACAAGTGGTTGAGTCATGTACAGCACTGTAATGTACACAAGTGGTTGAGTCATGTACAGCACTGTAATGTACACAAGTGGTTGAGTCATGTACAGCACTGTAATGTACACAAGTGGTTGAGTCATGTACAGCACTGTAATGTACACAAGTGGTTGAGTCATGTACAGCACTGTAATGTACACAAGTGGTTGAGTCATGTACAGCACTGTAATGTACACAAGTGGTTGAGTCATGTACAGCACTGTAATGTACACAAGTGGTTGAGTCATGTACAGCACTGTAATGTACACAAGTGGTTGAGTCATGTACAGCACTGTAATGTACACAAGTGGTTGAGTCATGTACAGCACTGTAATGTACACAAGTGGTTGAGTCATGTACAGCACTGTAATGTACACAAGTGGTTGAGTCATGTACAGCACTGTAATGTACACAAGTGGTTGAGTCATGTACAGCACTGTAATGTACACAAGTGGTTGAGTCATGTACAGCACTGTAATGTACACAAGTGGTTGAGTCATGTACAGCACTGTAATGTACACAAGTGGTTGAGTCATGTACAGCACTGTAATGTACACAAGTGGTTGAGTCATGAACAGCACTGTAATGTACACAAGTGGTTGAGTCATGAACAGCACTGTAATGTACACAAGTGGTTGAGTCATGTACAGCACTGTAATGACGTTATAGTTTCAAGAACTGCGAGACATTTCTGGAAGATTCTCATAAGCTTGAGGTGTGCGTGCTCAATCTGTCCCCTCAACTAGTACGTCTTATTTTGTACGTTACGGTCCCCCAACGTACGCGTTACAAAGGTATTACGAAAAGCAGCGGCACGCAAAATGGTCGTGTTGGGTGCACGTGTTGGTCAGGTTAGGTGGGTTGAGTGGGTTGGTGCGTTTCTGGTTAGGTTAGCACTTTGTATTTTGTACGTTGTGGCCAATGGACCTAAAAACGGACTTAAATATCGGTAGTCATGATGCTCTTGTTAATTACCCTTGCCAAGGCTTTATTACATTATTATGATGATAATTATCATTATGATGATAATTATCATTATGATGATAATTATCATTATGATGATAATTATCATTATGATGATAATTATCATTATGATGATAATTATCATTATAGAGAGTAATCACACTATTGTGATGCATCATGTGAAAAAATCAGAAGGGGTTGTGATGAGGATTCGAACCTATGCGCTGGGTTCAATCCTAGATATCTTAGGAACTTCCAGGATTCCTAGAGGGTGTGGTAGTACCCCAGGTTGCAATCCTTTTGATCATGTTGTGGCCTAGTGGTCTAGACTGTGCGCGCGTGGGTACACCCACCGCGTAGATTCGATCCCTCATCACGGCACCTATGGATTTTCATACCATCAATGTGATAGTTATCAAATCCCCGTACCCCCCCCCCCCCCCACCTACCCCCTATTGTTTAGCTCCGAACCCCCTTCCTATTGTGTCTCTAACACCTCTTAACCCCCCCCTAATGGATCCCATTCTCCCTTAGGCCTGCCTCCCGCCCCTGCCACCTACCTGTGACGTCGATCTCGCAGGGTATAGACTCCCCGATGGTGTTGTTAACGTAGCAGTAGTAGGTGCCCAGCGACGCCGCGGTGGCTGGGAGACGCAGTCGGGACTCCAGCCCTTCTGACGCAACGTCCTGCGTCAGCGTCTCGTTCAGCATACGCCACCTGCAAGGGCAATTGGCACTGGTGAGGCAGGTGGTGGGGGAGTGGCACTGGTGAGGCAGGTGGTGGGGGGAGTGGCACTGGTGAGGCAGGTGGTGGGGGAGTGGCACTGGTGAGGCAGGTGGTGGGGGGAGTGGCACTGGTGAGGCAGGTGGTGGGGTGGGGAGTGGCACTGGTAAGGCAGGTGGTGGGGGGAGTGGCACTGGTGAGGCAGGTGGTGGGGGAGTGGCACTGGTGAGGCAGGTGGTGGGGGGAGTGGCACTGGTGAGGCAGGTGGTGGGGGGAGTGGCACTGGTGAGGCAGGTGGTGGGGGGAGTGGCACTGGTGAGGCAGGTGGGGGGGGAGTGGCACTGGTGAGGCAGGTGGTGGGGGGAGTGGCACTGGTGAGGCAGGTGAGGAGGAGTGGCACTGGTGAGGCAGGTGGTGGGGGGAGTGGCACTGGTGAGGCAGGTGGGGTGGGGAGTGGCACTGGTGAGGCAGGTGGTGGGGGGAGTGGCACTGGTGAGGCAGGTGGTGGGGGGAGTGGCACTGGTGAGGCAGGTGGGGGGGGGAGTGGCAATGCTGAATCAGGTAGGGGGAGGTAATATTAAGATACTCTTGACTTAATATTTGGGTGCTAAAAAAATCAATACTGATCATGCTAACCATTTGTATTCGCACTAAGATGCGACTGAGTGTAATGACCATCTGTGGTCATTATACACTAGAACATTGTTGTACTTAATCATTGTAGTTGCAACCTACACTATAGCTTGACTACAAATGTGTATAGAATGCATAATATGTAAACCATTTATAAATCATCAATTTTGTTAGGTTTGCCTCTTGTGTTGTCTCCGTGGTGGATATTATCCACTTCTATCCTCACGGTGGTTAGGATGGTATGGTTGGGTTACGTTGGATTAGGTTAGGCTAGGTTGGTGTATATAGTTAAACTAGCTTAAGCGCTTACCACTCTAATTACCTTAATTAGGTTTAATTAGGTTAGGTCGCGCTAGGGTTGGTAAAGCACTAATTATAAAAGCCTTTAGATACAACTTTTTCTAAAAAAAAAAAAAATTAGTCAAAAACTTAAATGAAAAAGTTTTTTTTTCTAAATAATAGCGAAAGATTATAAGTAGGAAGAAGGCAGATCGAGCAGGATCCCGGCGTCTTATCCTCGACCACCTTCCTTGCTTCCTTGTTTAATAATATCCTCTGCTTAAGCAACTGGGATTTGCTTTACTTAACAATCTTCCGCGCTGAAAGCTCTCCAAAAGTTTTTTAATAATCTGAGTGAGTTTCTCTACGTTTTTGTTGTCACAATTTCTCTCTCACGAATTATACACAAAAATATTAATAAATTCGTTATGCAGGATCTTCCATAATCAATGTTGGGTTAGAGAGATTAAGACACAGACACGCACGGACAACAGACCCACACAATGACAACAGAAGCTCACGAAAATAGTGATCATCAATTTATTCTTTGACACGAATTTAAGCACGTAAGCAGGGAAGGGAACTATCAGAATAAAGCACCAAGCCATTACGACTATATATCACTGGGAAGTGGGTCAGGATAAGGATTAGGGATGGGACGGAGGGAAGGAATGGTGCCCCAACCATCTGGACGGTCGGGGATTGAACGCTGACCTGCAGGAAGCGAGACCGTCGCTCTACCGTCCAGCCCAAGTGGTTGGTAAACACGTAAGAATGCGAGGAATTTGTCTTCTATGTAGTCGCTGATGGAGCCTTTCAGGGTAGGTAAGGTTGCTGGCGAAGGGCTCGTGTTGTCAGGCATGACTTCCAAATCCGTTACTCTTTCGTAGATGCTTCATTATTCTCTATATTATTAAGCAAATGACAAGTAATGCCGGGTAATGGAGGTTGTGTGTAGTACCTCTTGCCTGATCTGTAGCCTTGATATTTCTTGTGAAGCTACAGCTCTTGTTGCGTCTAGGTCCCGTGGGGGACTGTTTTACCACTTGGTAAGCTCTTGTTGCGTCTAGGTCCCGTGGGGGGACTGTTTTACCACTTGGTAAGCTCTTGTTGCGTCTAGGTCCCGTGGGGGACTGTTTTACCACTTGGTAAGCTCTTGTTGCGTCTAGGTCCCGTGGGGGACTGTTTTACCACTTCGTAAGCTCTTGTTGCGTCTAGGTCCCGTGGGGGGACTGTTTTACCACTTGGTAAGCTCTTGTTGCGTCTAGGTCCCGTGGGGGACTGTTTTACCACTTGGTAAGCTCTTGTTGCGTCTAGGTCCCGTGGGGGACTGTTTTACCACTTGGTAAGCTCTTGTTGCGTCTAGGTCCCGTGGGGGACTGTTTTACCACTTCGTAAGCTCTTGTTGCGTCTAGGTCCCGTGGGGGACTGTTTTACCACTTGGTAAGCTCTTGTTGCGTCTAGGTCCCGTGGGGGACTGTTTTACCACTTGGTAAGCTCTTGTTGCGTCTAGGTCCCGTGGGGGACTGTTTTACCACTTGGTAAGCTCTTGTTGCGTCTAGGTCCCGTGGGGGCTGTTTTACCACTTGGTAAGGTCCCGGGGGGACTGTTTTACCACTTGGTAAGCTCTTGTTGCGTCTAGGTCCCGTGGGGGACTGTTTTACCACTTGGTAAGCTCTTGTTGCGTCTAGGACCCGTGGGGGACTGTTTTACCACTTCGTAAGCTCTTGTTGCGTCTAGGTCCCGTGGGGGGCTATTTTACCACTTCGTAAGCTCTTTGTTGAATCATCTTGTGTTGCTGCTGGTCGCTCTTCCTCTTCCTCAATAGTCTTAACTCTATTTTATAGAACCTCCTCTTATGTGTCTTACACCCTTCTGTCGCTCTAAGATTAATCCCCCTGTTTCTTGACACTGAATACTTGGAGGGAGAGAGAGAGAGAGAGAGAGAGAGAGAGAGAGAGAGGGGAGAGAGAGGGGGGAGAGAGAGAGAGGGGGAGAGAGAGAGGCAGCCCATTTTCTTGTCTTGGTAGTACTTATAGTAACGATGCAGACCATAGTATATATACTGACGTACAACGAAATTAGAAAGTAGAAATGTGAACTATTGAGTTGGACAAACTGGAAAACTATTTTTGTCCTTGTGTTACTTTGACAAACAAAACCTAACCTAACCTCCCTAGGCCTAATGCTCGATATCATAGGCCTAATATAGTACATATGTGTGCTATACTAGACCTAAAAATATTTAAATTTGGTTTTCAGCTTCATATATTATAAACAAAATCTTTACTAGTCAGAATACTATCTAAAATTACGTACGAATTCGTGACTATTGACGACCGTCACAATAGGATGGGTTGGAGGATGAAGAGGAGGAATAGATGAAGTGCTCAGCAAAGACGGAGACAAAGTCAAAAGTAACGGCAGGGAAGAAAGTATGAAGAGTAGGCAGAAAAAAGAAGAGAAATAAAGATAAACAAGGAATGGAAATCAAGATAAACACGAGATAAAAACAAAAGAAATTGGGAAACAAGCTGGCATAAAACTGAAGCAATAATCCACACACACTCGCATTTAAGATGACATAATAATAGCAAAACTTGAGATACGGCGGCAAGATATAAAGGAGAGAGAGAGGCAGAGCACGAGAGGAGAATGCGTCTCCTCACCTTTGAAGTGGAGAGCGGATTGGCAAGCATGTAGATAAACTGGTGTGTGTGTGTGTGTGTGTGTGTGTGTGTGTGTGTGTGTGTGTGTGTGTGTGTGTGTGTGTGTGTGTGTGTGTGTGTGTGTGTGTAGACTAACAAATACAGTTCGTCGCTCCTCCCGCGCCTACATAATGAAATGCGGCAGCCTTGCACCCTAGACTTTATCAGTGAATCCTCGAGGTAGCCTGATAGGACAGAAATTACTGACTCCCAACGATCTGAAAGCACCAGTATAAAAAGCTATGATTTGTTCAGATCTGAAACCTATATCTATCGGAAGCACAAAACGTGGACCAGACTGTGCGACACAGTGGTTGCAAGGATGAGGTTGGGTTACCGTTACCTGTGGCAGGTGGCTGCAGGTGACGGATCTCCCAATCCTGAGCACTCCAGGTGCAAACTCAGTGGGCATGATCTCCCACACTACATCAGCGAATGCTAAGTTATTAGACCATTCAGACCAGATGGCATGAGGTACCTGGGGCTTTGCAATTACTTTATTCACTCTCGTGTTCTTGAAGATATCCTCATAATGTGCCCAAAATTGGCCAGTGCAGGCTGCTGAACATATGGCTCTGTATGACTAACCATCCTGCGAGATGGGGACTTTTATTACCACTGCTGCCTTATTCACTCTTGTGTTGATGATATCCTCATAACGAACCCAGAGTCTGTCAGTGTAGACTACTGATCACATGCCTCTGTATGATTAACCATCCTGTGTGATGGGGATTTTTTTAGCATCATGTAGCTAGCATTTTGACACACTGTACTTCCCTTCATATAGTCTAGGGCAGCTGCACAAAATGCAGATGTAACTAATTGTGTTAATAAAAAACAAAAACAGGCAACTTGAACGTAAATTTTGGAATCAATTACACCAACATTGCTCATAAAAGATTCATAGAACTATGAACACAAGAGATATTTACAGTACGGATGGGTATCGACATAACACATAAAAAGCGTAAATTATTACACCTTATCATCTTATAACCCTTATGATACTCAAATCACTATCTGCGATTACCAAGTGTGACCCAATCACCATATACCATTTCTTATTTGATTTAACTATTTCTATTAGGACGCATTTCGATATAATACTTTTAGCAGCAGTGTTAAGAGAAGCAAGTGATATATATGAGTGTAGTGGGCAAGCCACCGGCAATTGCCCCGTGGCTTCCTGTAGTAAAAAAGAAAAAGTAATAGTTGACATTTCTGAAATGCCTATACATCCTGACAGGCCTCATCATCGCTGATCACACTGGGTTCATAATTTAACACACTGGGCACCTTCCTCAAGTAGCAGCTAAGACAATAATCAAGTTCCTCAGATATATAGCAGCTATACTGCACTAGAGTCACTGTTCACGGCAAGTAACTATTACGCACCTTTTTCAGATAGACCTATCACTGTTCCGTCTATAGGCTTAGACCCAATATTTAGTTTTCTTGTGATTGTCTTATTTCAACCCTTTCCAGAACTAACCAAATGGCGGAGGGCGCAATTGTGAATCTTTCTCTCGAACGATTAAGCTCCAGATTTAGGCTACCTCCATTCTCAGCTTTCTTTAAGATATATATATATATATATATATATATATATATATATATATATATATATATATATATATATATATATATAATATATATATATTACACCCACACATTATTTAATATTTTTATATTTTTGCCATGCAAATTATTTTTCTCAAAGTGCATCTTTCAGCAGTAAATATCCGTTTCTTGGTATTCATACCCAGCACCTTAGTGTGTACTCTGAGTTATGATCCTTAGCCTTTGTTCACTTATTTAAGAAATGAAAGTTGTCGTGAACTGTTTTTTACAGCTTATATACCAGCATGATTTATGCCGTTCTTTGTGTGAGGCCAGTATTCTTATGTAGCTGAAGACCTACTCTCACTATTCACGATAACGGTAGTTACGGTGCGGTATGCACGATAGCTACGGTGGCGGTATGCATGATAGCTACGGTGGCGGTATGCATGATAGCTACGGTGGCGGTAAACATGATAGCTACGGTGGCGGTATGCATGATAGCTACGGTGGCGGTATGCATGATAGCTACGGTGGCGGTAAACATGATAGCTACGGTGGCGGTATGCATGATAGCTACGGTGGCGGTAAGCATGATAGCTACGGTGGCGGTAAGCATGATAGCTACGGTGGCGGTATGCACGATAGCTACGGTGGCGGTAAACATGATAGCTACGGTGGCGGTATGCATGATAGCTACGGTGGCGGTATGCATGATAGCTACGGTGGCGGTATGCATGATAGCTACGGAGGCGGTATGCATGATAGCTACGGTGGCGGTAAACATGATAGCTACGGTGGCGGTATGCATGATAGCTACGGTGGCGGTAAGCATGATAGCTACGGTGGCGGTAAGCATGATAGCTACGGTGGCGGTATGCACGATAGCTACGGTGGCGGTATGCACGATAGCTACGGTGGCGGTATGCACGATAGCTACGGTGGCGGTATGCACGATAGCTACGGTGGCGGTATGCACGATAGCTACGGTGGCGGTATGCATGATAGCTACGGTGGCGGTATGCATGATAGCTACGGTGGCGGTAAGCATGATAGCTACGGTGGCGGTAAGCATGATAGCTACGGTGGCGGTATGCATGATAGCTACGGTGGCGGTAAGCATGATAGCTACGGTGGCGGTAAGCATGATAGCTACGGTGGCGGTAAGCATGATAGCTACGGTGGCGGTATGCATGATAGCTACGGTGGCGGTATGCATGATAGCTACGGTGGCGGTATTCACGGTAGCTACGGTGGCGGAATGCATGATAGCTACGGTGGCGATAAGCATGATAGCTACGGTGGTGGTATGCATGATAACTACGGTGTCGGTAAGCATGATAGCTACGGTGGTGGTATGCATGATAGCTACGGTGGCACTATGCATGATAGCTACAGTGGCAGTAGGCATGATAGCTACGGTGGTGGTAAGCATGATAGCTACGGTGGTGGTATGCATGATAGCTACGGTGGCGGTATGCATGATAGCTACGGTGGTGGTAGGCATGATAGCTACGGTGGTGGTAAGCATGATAGCTACGGTGGTGGTATGCATGATAGCTACGGTGGTGGTATGCATGATAGCTACGGTGGCGGTATGCATGATAGCTACGGTGGCGGAATGCATGATAGCTACGGTGGCGGTATTCACGGTAGCTACGGTGGCGGTATGCATGATAGCTACGGTGGCGGTAAGCATGATAGCTACGGTGGCGGTATTCACGGTAGCTACGGTGGCGGAATGCATGATAGCTACGGTGGCGGTAAGCATGATAGCTACGGTGGTGGTATGCATGATAACTACGGTGTCGGTAAGCATGATAGCTACGGTGGTGGTATGCATGATAGCTACGGTGGCGGTAAGCATGATAGCTACGGTGGCACTATGCATGATAGCTACAGTGGCAGTAGGCATGATAGCTACGGTGGTGGTAAGCATGATAGCTACGGTGGTGGTATGCATGATAGCTACGGTGGCGGTATGCATGATAGCTACGGAGGCGGTATGCATGATAGCTACGGTGGTGGTAGGCATGATAGCTACGGTGGCGGTAAGCATGATAGCTACGGTGGTGGTATGCATGGTAGCTACGGTGGCGGTAAGCATGATAGCTACGGTGGCGGTAAGCATGATAGCTACGGTGGTGGTATGCATGGTAGCTACGGTGGCGGTAAGCATGATAGCTACGGTGGCACTATGCATGATAGCTACAGTGGCAGTAGGCATGATAGCTACGGTGGCAGTAGGCATGATAGCTAGTGGTCAAAATAATTGCCTCAAAGGGCCTGACAGCTGAGTAGACAGCGCTCGAGATTCGTAGTCCTGAGGTTCCGGGTTCGATCCCCGGCAGAGGCGGAAACAAATGGGTACAGTTTCTTTCACTCTGAGTTCTGTTCACCTAGCAGAAAATGTAAATGGGTACCTGGGAGTTAGACAGCTGCTACGGGCTGCTTCCTGGGGAATGTGTAAGAAAAAGGAGACCTGGTCGAGGACCGGAAGCCCCGAAATCATCTCAAGATTACCTCAAGTTAGGGTCCCCATGCGGCTCCCTATACCTCAAGTTAGGGTCCCCATGCGGCTCCCTATACCTCAAGTTAGGGTCCCCATGCGGCTCCCTACACGGCACAAAAAATAAAATACAGCTATATCAGGTGAAGAGTCTTGTCGGAGCCACACCCGGGCAGCGAAGAGGAGAACTAGAACCCACCTGAAGACGACTTCCTCCGGATTGGCAGCGGCGCGGCAGATGAGGAGAATATGGGCGTCCTCTCCGCTGCCTCCGTCCAGCCGGTCAATCTTGCACTCCGGCTTGACTGTCACACACACACGAGACATTAGTTAGTGGCTGCGTTCTCATGCCTTTGAGATGACTACCAATGATATACATGTTGTCTTTGAACGAAGAAAAACAGTTGGGCATTTGATACAATGAGAAATATATCATTATCAGTTGTATGACTATACACCATTTAGAATGAGATGTGAGGACAAGGAACTGAGTATAATAAGTTGAAGGGATGAAGGAACTGTGCCAAAGCACTTGGACCATCGGGGGATCGAACGGTGATCCTGCAAGAAGCAAGAACGGTGATCCTGCAAGAAGCAAGAACGGTGATCCTGCAAGAAGCAAGAACGGTGATCCTGCAAGAAGCAAGAACGGTGATCCTGCAAGAAGCAAGAACGGTGATCCTGCAAGAAGCAAGAACGCTGATCCTGCAAGAAGCAAGAACGCTGATCCTGCAAGAAGCAAGAACGCTGATCCTGCAAGAAGCAAGAACGCTGATCCTGCAAGAAGCAAGAACGGTGATCCTGCAAGAAGCAAGAACGCTGATCCTGCAAGAAGCAAGAACGCTGATCCTGCAAGAAGCAAGAACGCTGATCCTGCAAGAAGCAAGAACGCTGATCCTGCAAGAAGCAAGAACGCTGATCCTGCAAGAAGCAAGAACGCTGATCCTGCAGGATCGCTCTATCGACCAGTCTATTGATAGACTGGTCGTGGAGGGAAAATGGAATGTGTCACTTACATAAAATATCGAACGTGGAGGTGGAGGTCATCTGGCCATGACGGTTCTGCGCGATGCACTCGTAGTCTCCAGCGCGATTCCTCTCGATGGGGTAGTCGAGGTGGAGGACGGCGCCCGTCGACACCGTCTTCTCGCCGTACGTCCAGATGTAGGTGGCCTCGGGGTAGCTGGAGGCCCGGCACTCGATCTTCGGGGGGATCTCTCCCTCCACCACCTGGATATACGAGTCGGACACTACGATCTCCTCCGGCGGGTCTGACGGAGAGAGTTCAAGTGAGTTAAGATAATTATGAGAAAGCGGCAAGTCAATTTAAGTGTATAAGCACTTCGAAGGGATATGTGAACATGGAGCAGGATTAGGATAGAGGAAAGGAATGGTGCTTATAACCACTTGTGCTTACGAAGGTGATTGGGGGGCAAACTCCCAACAGTGGTAATGTGGGTGGTACTCACACTCGACCCTGAAGTAGGTGTTGGAGGTAACTCCCGGCCCAGCCACGTTGGAGGAACTGCTGCAGGTGTAGTTGGCGTTGTCCTGGTCTCTGTCGAGGACACCATCAGGCCAGCGGTCCATCTGCCAGGTCAGCACCGACAACACACTCTCCAGGTCGCTGTGGGAGAGAGTCATCATTAAGGTGCCTCTCGCGTGGAAACAGTTTGCGACAACACAGCTGTTGACAGCTGTAGACTCGTGCATAACAGTGGGAGAGAGGGACATTGGCACCTAGTCAGCAGTGCCTGAAGCCTCTGTCAACGGGTAGAGGCTTAAGGCACTGGAGTAGCCAAAAGGCTGACCAGGGCCAGGAATCATTTACTCAACCTGTACATCTTTACGAAACCTGCATCGTTGAAGAACCATGGGAGATTTGATTTCATTTATTAACAGTTTACGAGCTTCGAAACTCTACCAGAGGTTGTTTTGATTAAAAACAACTTCGTAGTGGTTGTTTTGTCTTTGTTATAAAGAACCTCGCAGTGCTTCAGAGCTCATAAACTGTTTATTAAGGTAAACAAGACGACCATGTACCTGGATTATACCTGCTTGATGGAGATCTGGGAGTTCTTCAACTCTCCAAGTTCGGCCCGAGGCCAGGTTTGACTTGTGAAACCTTGGTCCAACAGGCTGTTGAAGGAAGACCTACCCTAAAAAGGAAGAAAGGACACAGTGCCCTGGGAAGACAGGAAGCCACGTGCCCGGGGAAGACAGGAAGCCACGTGCCCTGGGAAGACAAACTGAAGGTGAAAGACGTACCCTGAGGAAGGATCCGGGAGCATGACGCTGTTCTTGACCTTGTAGTGAGTGTCGTTGAGGAAGGGGAGGTCGTCCTTGAGCCAGGTGATGGTACACAGCGGGGAACACTCAACCCTGCAGGAGAGTGACACCTGCGCCGAGTTCATGAGGGCCCCGTGGTAGTGTGGCAGGCGGTAGATGAACACTGGAGCAGCTGTTGACGGTAGAGAGAGACAGATTGTGAACAAGTGAACAGTCATAACTCTTCCCCCCCCCCCGCCCAACCACTTGGGCTGGACGATAGAGCGACGGTTTCGCTTCATGCAGGTCGGCGTTCAATCCCCGACCGTCCAATGGTTGGGCACCATTTCTTCCCTCCCACCGTCCCATCCCAACTCCTTATCCTATCCTCTTCCCAGTGCTATATAGTCGTAATGACTTGGCGCTTTCCCTGATAAATCCATCCATCCATCCCCCCCCCTTCCCCCCAGAGCTGTTTACTCCTCCCAACTCCAGTGAATACAAGAACAATCCTTATTTTGCTCCAGTGAACACATGAACATACAGGTTTGTTCAGTCCGTCTTGCTCCGGTTAGTAATTCCATGATGGCAGGTGTTACAGCACTGAACAATTTACACCAGGTGTGTCCCCCCGCACCTGCTTTAATTAGTAACTTGCTCCAGAGATCTCTCCTACTCCACTAAACAATTACACCAGGCTAATCCCTTCAATTGCACTCAATAATTACTTCAGACTACGCCCTCTTACTCCATCCATCAAAACACACACACACACACACACACACACACACACACACACACACACACACACACACACACACACACTCACACTCACACACAGACACACACAAGAACTGACCGACATTAGAACTGCCTTTAGAAACCTGTCTAAGATATATTCAGAACCTTGTATTCCACTTATGTCAGACCAATCCTGGAGAATGCAGCTCCAGCCCGGAGTCAATACCTACCTAAACACAAAACAAAGTTAGAGAAGATTCAGAGGTAACACTGAAGAGTTAGGGGAACCATGATCACCACGTACAAAATTCTCAGGGGAATTAACAGGGTAGACATATGCAAACTATTTAGCATGGGTGGAACACGAACAAGGGGACAAAGGTGGTAACTGACTACCTAAATGAGCCACAGAGACATTAGAATTTTTGTTTTGTATAAGAGTAGTTGACAAATAGAATGCATTAGGCAGTGATGTGGTGGAGGCTGACTTCATACACAGTTTCAAATGTAGATATGATTGAACCCAGTAGGCTCAGGAACCTGTACACCAGTTGATTGACGGTTGAGAGGCGGGACCAAAGAGCCAGAGCTCAACCCCCCCCCCAAACACAACTATGTGAATACACACACACACACATTGTATGCGTGTGTGTGAGAGGGAAAAAGGAATATAAGAGGAAAAAATAGATCGGTTAGAAAGGCGGGGTCCACAAGCTAATAGCTTGATTCTGCAAGCAGAAATATTAAATACAAATAGTAAATACACACACACACACACACACACACACACACACACACACACACACACACACACACACACACACACACACACACACACACACACAGGGTCTAGTAGCTGAGTGGACACCGCGTGGGACTTGTAATCCTGTGGCCCGGGTTCGATTCCCGGCGGCGGCAGAGACAAATGAGCAGAGTTTCTTTCACTCTGATGCCCCTGTTACCTAGCAGTAAATAGGTACCTGGTATTTAGACAGCTGTTATACGGGCTGCTTCCTGGGGGGTGGGTGAAAAAAATTAGTGGTAAGTAATAGTTGGTTAACAGTTGAGAGCCGGGACCAAAGAGCTAGAGCTCAACCCCAGCAAGCACAACTAGGTGAATACAGCGAGTCGCACACTTCAGTTCCAATAAACGCAATTTGCTGTGGCTATAATTACAGGAGGTTGTACCAAGGAGGTTATTAGCGTGAAATGTTTACGGTTATTGTCAAGGTAATTAGGGAGAGGGGCACAGGTGACGTAGTGAGCCCCGCCACCGGCTGAGACTCGTCCTAATTAGCTAGAGGACAGGTAATCACAGGTATTTTTCATGCACGGGTAATTACAGGCTGAGTCTAGGAGTCTAATAAGCTAATCACCGGCGTAAAGGGTAAAATTGCCAATCCTCATCAGGACCGACACAAAACGTCAATGACGTATTTTTTTTTCGGGGAGGGGGGGGGGTCGTAATGATTGGTTGAATGTTAATTTTTTAGGAGACGCAGATAAACGCATGAATTAAAATTACATGTGAATGAATGTTTTATATTGAAAATGCTCGAAATAGGTGTTTTTCTGATTACGTATTACTGGACCCAGGCGCGCGCGCATACCTTACTGGTGTAAGGAATCATTCAAAACTTTGTATACCACATATGTCAGACCAATCCTGGAGTATGGAGGTCCAGCGTGGAGCCCATATCTTGGCAAGCATAAGACTAAACTGGAAAAGGTTCAAAGGTTTGCCACCAGACTAGTACCCGAACTGAGAGGTATGAGCTACAAGGAGAGACTACGGGAATTAAACCTCACCTCGCTGGAAGATAGAAGAGTTAGGGGGGGACATGATTACAACATACAAGATTCTCAAAGGAATTGATAGGATAGATAAAGACACGCTATTTAACACAAGGGGCATACACTAGGGGACACAGGTGGAAATTAAGTGCCCAAATGATTCACAGAGATGTTAGAAAGAACTTTTTTAGTGTCAAAGTAATTTACAAATGGAATGCATTAGGAAGTGATGTGGTAGAGGCTGACTCCATACACAGTTGAGAGGCAAGACCTAAGAGTCTGAGCTCAACCCCCGCAAGCACAACTAGGTGAGTACACACACACACAAACGGCGTCACGGCCGGAGCTAGAGTGTCGTAATCCCAAGGGCCCGGGTTCGATTACCGGCCGAGAGAGAATCATAGATAGATTGTCACACGATGCACCTGTTCACCTAACAATAAATTGGTTCCTGTTAGTCTGACAGCTACTACAGACTGCTTCTTGGAGATGTGTTTCAGAGTTAGAAACATATGCAACTGATATCATATGAGGAATAAATGGGTCAGAAATTAACCCATACGGTAAAAAAAAAACTGCCGGGACCCAAGAGCTAAGAGATGGATCGTGGAAGCACAACCAGTAAACACACAGATGAAGGAAGGAAGGAAACTATGAGGAGAAAGCACCAAGCCATTACTACTAGATAGCACTAGGAAGGGAGTCAGGATAAGGATTTGGGATGGGACGGAGGGGCCAAGGAATGGTGCTCAACCACTTGTGGACGGTCGGGGGAAACAGACAGATGAACTCACCCAAAACATCGACTTGGAGGACGGCTCTCTCCCCCTCCCCCTCGATGTTGACGGGGACGCAGGTGAAGTTGTCTTCGGTCTCCAGCGACACGGGGTTGATGGTCCAGGAGGCCGAGGTCTCGTCGGCCACCAGGCGGGAGCCCCGGTACCACCTGAAGGTGGTGGCCGCCGGCCTGCCTGGGTCCTCCACGTTACAGGTCAACTCCAGCGACAGGCCCTGCGGGAGGAGGAAATTATCAGGGGAGAAAGCGCCAAGCCATTACCACAATATAGCACTGGGAAGGGGTCAGGATAAGGATTTGGGATGGGACGGGGGGAGGGGTACGTTATATTTTGAGAGAGAGAGAGAGAGAGAGAGAGAGAGAGAGAGAGAGAGAGAGAGAGAGAGAGCAGAAAAAGCTAGCGAAAGAGAGAGAGGGAGAGACTTGAGCAAGGAAGCATTTAGAGTATATAAAATACAAGACATACGGATAACAGTTTGAATTCCCAACAGGGATGTCTTTCAATAGGGGGATAGCGGGGGGAGGGAATGGGCGGAAAGAGGGACCGAAAATCAAGGATAACCTGAAGTCGGGCTAACGGAAAACATGCAAGACTTTCCGAAAGCAGGAAAAAATATGACCTTAGGAATTTCGGCAAAGAAATTGCAAGCATTTCTTTGGCTCCTGCAAGGGAATATTTTCCCCGAGTTTTTGACTCCTACAAGGGAAAAATTCCCCCCGAGTTTTTGGCTCCTACAAGGGAATATTTCCCGGAGTTTAGATTTAATAATGACAGTATTTCACTGATTCACATTTTAGGTTCTTTTCATGCCACGAAAATTCTTCAATTCTAATTTGCTGAAACAATTGGTTTATATCAATCGGTGATTGCGATAAGCGTCCCAGTGAGATGAACCACGGCCAGGAATCATCAAACATTTCCATGTCCACTTACGAAACCTCTACATCCTTCCTCCATGATGGTGGCTTTAGTAGAAGTAATTGAACAGTTTAGCAGCTTGGAAACGCTGTGAGGTCGACCTCGCCTCGAGGTGGTTGTCATCATCAACGCGGTTATGCGGCTTCGGAGCTCATAAACAGTTTTAATAAGTGTAAACAGAGCCGCCATGATTGATGATAGATGTGGTAGTAGGTTTGTGGTTTGGAGTTCCTGTGCCTTCTTTCACCAACTTCGAGGTCAGCTCCGGAGCGCACAGTTCCTGCGACGGAGCTGGAACCAATTGTATTGGCGTTAGCCTTTCCATTGGAGACTTTCGGCGCCGTGGAGAGGGGGGGGGGGGATCTGCTGCATGGGTAACAGTTTCTCTTCTGTATCAACCTGCCCTGGCTTTGCGCCTTGGAGAGGCCACTCCAGACCGACAACCAGAGCGCAACTCCAAAGTCTCTTGAGACTGATGGATGTCTACTGTAGGCATGCATCAGTCTCAGGAGACTATGGAGTTGTGCTCTGGTTGTCGGTCTGGAGTGGCTGACTCCAGGGCGCAAAGCCAGGGTAAGTTGATACGGGGGAGAAGCTGTCACCTATGCAGCAGGTCCCCTTCCCCTATCCAGATGTACCGGTTTCGTAAATGGATGCGTAAATGCATAATGAATGCTAGTGGTGGAGACGACGGACTACCGAGACCCGCAGAAGACGGTGACCGCACCTTGACGACCATGGGGGGCTCGTAGGTGATGAAGGCCTGGCCTGGGGGGTAGTGGACGATGAGCTCCGCCTCGTTGGAGCGGGTGCCCCAGCCGGCGTCATTCATCCCCTCGCAGGAGTAGTTGCCGTGGAAGTCCTTGAAGACGTTCTCCAAGAGCAGCTTGGAGGGGTCGATGTCGCAGAGCTCCGAGTTGGTGCCGTACATTGTCGAGTTGCCGTCGCACTCCGGCAGTTCCTGGAGGAGTGAAACAGAACGAGCATGAGGCAATAGTTCAATAATTATAAGTGAATCGAATGATATCTGACCGCCATACTGCTATCAACACACATCGCTGACAAGGTATGGAAATGATCAATAGAAAACGAAAGTCAGGATGACTAGCAAGCATTTAAAATATGAGTAACTACGATAATATGAGGACAAAGTAAGGGAACGGAGCCCGAACAGCAGCACTATCGAGCATCAAACGACGAACCTCCAAAAAATGAGAGGCCGTTGCTGTACCGATCACCCTCACTGGATATATGGACACCGTTTACATAAAAAAACAAAGAATCTAAAAAACAATCGACTTGAGAATGGTCCACGACGGACTGAAACGTCGTCGTCCCTTCGCTTTCTAGTGTGTGGTTTGGTCAGCCTAAAAAACTAATATAATTAAAAAAGAAATACCAATATTCTTACCAATATTGAAATACCAATATTCTTCTTACTAGTACAGACGTGAAAAGAAAGGTTGTGTAGTTTACAACCACAAAAAGCAGTTCGCTGTACCCACCTTCAAGAGTTCCCCGTCCAGGTACCACCGGACACGGACGAGGTATTCTGGGTTGGCCCTCACCACGTCGCAGTTGAGGGTGACGTTGACACGGTCCTCCTCGGACACGGGCTGCATCGGCTCCATCACCACCTGGACCTGGGGACGGTCTGTGGCAGGGAGGAGGAGAAGGGAGAGATTAGTAGTTAAGATGGGGCAGACGCCTATACGGCTAGTAAGCCTCGCTCCCTCATCAGTAAGCCCTGATCAACCTTGTTCAAGCCAGTCGCAGAATATTTATGAAGAACGTTCACAATCCAGCCCTCAAATCCATTGCAAGTGCTTCATACTCATACTGGGTTAGTGCTTGTCTCTCATACTTCATTCACAATCCAGCCCGTCCTCCCAAGATTTCCAAACGTCAAGAAAGTGTCTGATTAAAGTGCCTTTATCCTAACCCACCAGAGTACCCAAAATAGAAAACGGGACAGTAAGTCAATTTCGCGAGCCGCTTCCCTTTTCTAGTACGACGATTTTTTGACCTTAGGGAGAGTATACGACAAAATGCGACGTTCTTGTTAGAAGAATGGGTTGGTCAATCACAGTCCTATTCGGCATTAACGATTTCTGTCTAACCTTATTCTATCCATCTCTATCCGGACAAGTACACACAACCTTGTCCTACCCAGTTTAGGACTGCTTACCCTGACCATGTCAAGCCCAACCCAAACTCTGCCATATTCTGAGCATTTATTAAGTCCAACCCAGACCAGCCCTATTAAAGCCCCCCTCTCCTTCCCTGATTAATCCGGATTGACCTCCACGAACCAGCCCTATTAAAGCCCCCCTCTCCTTCCCTGGTTAATCCGGATCAACCTCCACGAACGAGCCTATAAGCATCCACTCACACTGGACGCTGACGAAGGCGGAGTTGGTGACCTCAGAGGCGCCGACGGAGTTGGAGACCCTGCAGGTGTACTCGCCCATGTCCCCGGCCGAGCTGTTCTTGATGAGCAAGGACGGGTGATCCACGTTGCCATTGCCATATTTCTCTGGGTACCCGGCGACGTCCACCTGCCGCCCGTCCTGGTACCTGCCATGACCAACCCAGAATAAGAAAAACTATTCATACACGAATTGATGATTATTTACCTAGAATAATTTGATCGATCCTGTGAGATGTTAAATAAGTTAGGAAAGCAGAAATATATTATTAGGATAGTAAGCTAAGAACCATAAATTGTTCGTTTTGACATACAATTAAATTGTTAAAAAGTTTTGGCTATTAAAATATGAGACTGTAATTAACAGATAACGACTCAGAAATGTGCGATATTGCAAATATGCATTTGATATCAGTACATAGAACTTTATATTTTATCCCTAGTTGATCAGACTTGTGTAGGTGCTAAAGAGAACAAGCTGATTAGTAGTTACTAAGCAGTTACTAAGCAAAGCAAAAAGTTAGGAAAACAACAGAAATTCTGTTGAAAATAAATAATTCGTCTGGTTTCGCGAAATTTGTGACTCTATAGCAAATGAAAAGATGTTCATTGTCACCCATTGTAAATATTTCATATGTCCTTAAAGCGACGCAGAAGAGCAGCAGACTCGTAGAGCGTTGAAGAATGTGACGCAGATGTTTCAAGACGGATGATAGATCCCTTAATTCGAAATAACAACCAATTTGACGTCTATTGTGGGGAAAAATATCTTGCTTCAATAATCTCAAAAATTGATTAAATTTTCAGTAATCTCAAAAACCATCCATATACATTTAAAAAAAAAAAACGCGAGATTAATAAAGGATTCACGGAAGGCCTATTCATATTTAAACACATTTGCTTTTATATTTTTTTCAAAAATGTTCAATAGTAAAACGGATCACATTATGCATCTAGACTCATGGTATTAAGGGGATAATTATATATATTACGTATATATATATATATATATATATATATATATATATATATATATATATATATATATATATATATATATATATATATATATATGAAATGAAATGTGTGTGTGTGTGTATTGTACCTACTTACAAGAACGCACTACTTGGCTTACTATTATGACAAGATCATTGTCATCTGAGGTCACCATCATCTGGGATCAATGTCACCAGTAATCACTATCACTTGATATATAATTGTCGAAGTGAATCATTATCGTCACAGGTCACTTCTCATCGGTCACAATCATTAAAAGAAAATGTCTAATTTTAATTTTGAAAATTTTGAACGCGAAAATTAAATTGAATTTTTCGTGATTTCAAATTGCCACGGAAGGTCACTGCCAGTCACTCCCCCCATTTCTTAACTTCACCGTGGCTTTCATTCCTTCACTTCCTTCCTTCTCTTCCTTCCCCGAAGACGTTCAGAGCCCCTACCACCTTAAGACGCCCTCACCATCCTAAGTCAAACGACCATGAGACGCTCGAGCTACTCAAACTGCGTCATCTGACGTCAATGACGCACCACTGACGTCAGATGTTAACTGACAGCAACGTCAGAGTGTATGTTTAGTGCATAGGGAAAGCAAGAGTTAATTTGATTCACGTCAACAGCAAATCTGATTTACCCAATCGTGTTTGCGACTCGCAGTTCAAGCAAAAACCTCCGGACCGTATTAGCATTGCTGAAGGACAGTTTTTTGTTCCACAAGGTTGTTGTGGTGAGCGTGATGTTTGTGCAGTGACTCCACAGGTGTTGGACAGTGACCCCCAGGTGTTGGACAGTGACCCCCAGGTGTTGAACAGTGACCCCAGGTGTTGTACAGTGACCCCAGGTGTTGGACAGTGTCCCCAGGTGTTGGACAGTGTCTCCAGGTGTTGTACAGTGACCCCAGGTGTTGGACAGTGACCCCAGGTGTTGGACAGTGACCCCAGGTGTTGGACAGTGACCCCCAGGTGTTGGACAGTGACCCCCAGGTGTTGGACAGTGACCCCCAGGTGTTGGACAGTGACCCCCAGGTGTTGGAAATTGACCACCCGGTGGTGGACAGTGACCCCCAGGTGTTGGACAGTGACCCCCAGGTGTTGGACAGTGACCCCCAGGTGTTGGACAGTGACCCCCAGGTGTTGGACAGTGACCCCCAGGTGTTGGACAGTGACCCCCAGGTGTTGGACAGTGACCCCAGGTGTTGTACAGTGACCCCAGGTGTTGGACAGTGTCCCCAGGTGTTGGACAGTGTCTCCAGGTGTTGTACAGTGACCCCAGGTGTTGGACAGTGACCCCAGGTGTTGGACAGTGACCCCAGGTGTTGGACAGTGACCCCAGGTGTTGTACAGTGACCCCCAGGTGTTGTACAGTGACTCCCAGGTGTTGGACAGTGACCCCCAGGTGTTGGACAGTGTCCCCAGGTGTTGGACAGTGTCCCCAGGTGTTGGACAGTGTCCCCAGGTGTTGGACAGTGTCCCCAGGTGTTGGACAGTGTCCCCAGGTGTTGTACAGTGACCCCAGGTGTTGGACAGTGTCCCCAGGTGTTGGACAGTGTCTCCAGGTGTTGGACAGTGACCCCAGGTGTTGGACAGTGACCCCAGGTGTTGGACAGTGACCCCAGGTGTTGGACAGTGACCCCCAGGTGTTGGTCAGTGACCCCCAGGTGTTGGAC